TGAACCGAGCGTGTATATACCACACCTTGAGACTTGAGGCAACAAAATATTTTGAAAAATTATTGCGTGGCGTGATATACAACCAGTAGCAATTTCTATGAACTTTGAAAATACACTTGATGCTTTACGCAATTTTCTGTGGTAAGAAATGGCATCGCATATGCTCATAAATGTAGTTGCCCCAATTTCATTCACGAGAATTTTGGATAGTAGTTACATCAGTCTCGTCATCAGCATTCTCCACTGGCTCATTTTCATGATCTATAACGTCTGTTACAATTATGTTTTCCGTATTTTTTACTCCAAATGCACGACCTGGTGCATTCAGTAACTTTTGAAACTGCATTACATTCGCGAAGGACTTCTCCCAAAGCGACAAAGTCATTTGCTTAAAAATATCACCTCCAGTGCTGCTGGCTTCACCCTTATTGTGCACAATTGTTTTTTAGTTTTACATTTTTAATTTTTCCAAACCTAGACGAACTTTAGAAAACTAACTAATAAAAACATACAAAAATAATTTTAACTTTAATATACTTCTTGCCAGTCTCTAATCGGTGACCGTTTACATTTAATTTTGTAGCAATGGATTCCAATCTAATTTAAAATTAGCTGGAAAATTACCTTTGGTAAACCCTTTGGCAAACATGGTTTTTTTTATTCAATTCGGAAACTAACATTTCAAATTGTTTTGCTGTTGTTATTTTCTTGGTCAAATATCAAATACAAAAAAGTTACAATATCAACGTCCACTAAAAAATACAATGTCGTTACAATTTTTTACGGCGACAGATTTTCTTAAAAATCGACTTCACGTCGACTGTTGTATCGACAGTTATAATAGCAATCATTTGTCGCTATCGACAAAAAACGACAACCCTAATATCATTATTGTCGCTTCGACTTCATTTTGCGACGCCGACGACAACCATAATAGGGCCGATTCATTTTTTTATTTTTTAAGAACACAAATAGTTTGAACACAATCACTAGAAATTTTATTTTGTTTGTTTATTTACAATTTGTTTGTTTACAACTGAACTGTCAATTGAGACAGAGCCACTGTTGCTTTTTTGCGTTTAAATTAGACATTTGGCGCTTTTTTTGCCTTATTTCGCGATTAATTTTTTCAAAAAATATTTAGCAACACTGAATCACGTAAGGCTATGCGAAAGAAAGAACGAAAGTTAGTGGAACGCATTCTTATACGAAAGTGAGTGAGTAGCCTCCGTTCGCACAAATTTTCTTTCGAGATCGTGGAACAGGCTGTTAAAGATTCCATACTAAGGAAAAGGTGCTGCTTCTTTTTCTTCTGCCGTGTATGTGCCATTATTATTTCCGCTATTGTTATTACCATGGTAGAAGAATATAGGTAGACGCTTCGACACAGCTGCTGGGACAATGAACTGTCAAACCAATTTTGGAATCTAAATTGTTGAATGAAAAATTACTCAAATTTGTAAATATTGTTAAAAAATGCATATTATAACAACCTCCGATTGGCGTCGTGTAGGAAAACAAATACAAATATACTTATTTTTGAGGAAATATTTAAAAAATTTTGATACATCAATACTCCCAATCGTTGATGCATCTACCTGTATTTTCCTACCATGGTCATTACTAACAACTGTATCTGTTCCAGAACGGCACTTTATGAGTGTTTATTTATCATGTTTCTGTTGTAATGTTGACAGTTATCAAAGTTTCCTCTATTCTCTCTTTTGACATTTCCGAGGTTATTTGTCTTTGGCAGTCAAAAGGAGAAGTCGAAAAACAGCGAAATAAACGCGCGCTACTGTGTTCTAAATAAAATTGTTTTCTTTTGCGTTAACCGCAAGGCTCCTTCTTTGACATTAATACAGAACAAATTCTTTATTTCGCATTTTGTTTGGTTTGTGACGCAAAAAATTGTGTACTTTGCTGTGTGTGGAAAAAATATAAAGCAAGTTTGAGGTTGGGAAGATGGCACCACCTGTTCGCCACCAACACTGAGAAGCACATTCAGCGCAGACACTATTACATCAGATCAGCCTGATCATGAAGCCCAAGTGGATGTAAGTAGTGAAGTCTATGGAAACACACAAGCAACGCCAAGAACGGAGACAAATAACCAAACTATGTCATCTGCCGTACATAGTGGAACAAAAAAGCCTGCATCTAACAACAATGTAAGTGATAATAATGCCATCACAGAAACGCCAAGGGGAACGTTTCAAGCCAAAAGAAGACAGTTTCCAAGCCAGGTAATGCCATGAAAGCTACAGAGCCAGGCGCAAGTAGCCAACAGAAGGAAGTGGATAATTTAGCTGACATCAAAAAGCAAATGGCATATCTAAAACGACAACTTTTGGAAACAAAATCTCAACTATCCGAGAGTCAACGCCAATGCCAGCAGTTTGAGGTTATGTCCCAAAAGCCATCAGGAGAAACGGTAAGTGACCATAACCTAAATCCTATCAACGTGTCCGCCATTGATTTAGCAAACACAACAACAACTATGCCGCCAATTAGGCAAGCCGCACATACATCGACATCAACAGTCGCCATTACAACGCAACCGCCACCCGCTGCCAATGTCAACGTCGAACAAACTCCGACGCAAGCTGCAACAGATAATTTCTGCGCTTCTTTGCCGCCAGCAATAAATACAAATTTATCGCCATGTTCTACAAATATTAACCTCAGCCAACAACAGTATAGAAATTTGTATGGTACAGAAAATGGAGTCCGTGAGGTCATGGCTCATCGGAAAATTATTGATCTGTCTGAATTCACCGTCGTTTCTTAAATCTCAGCTTGCAAGAAAAATGGAAACAAATTAAACAAATACGTGCCTGCTTTTCTTGTTTAAGTCGATTTAAGCCGTAGTCGATTATGCCCTATAGAAGGTTGCCAACGTAAGCATAATAAACTACTACATGAGGGTGCCCCCTGCGTACCAGCTGTTAATCCGTCGAATCCTGAGCCAGAATATCAACAAAATGTCCTCAGCTGTTCTTCTAAAGTTAATAAAAAACTACTTTTTCGTGTATTGCCAGTCACACCATATGGAAACAATTGTCGTATGGATGTATATGCTCTCTTTGATGATGGATCATCTATAAGCATGATGGTCAAGGACATTGCTGAAAGAATAGGAGTGCGAGGAAATAGTTGCTCTTTAAATATTCAGTGGTTCGGAGGGAGGTCTGCTAGGGAACCTGTGACGTCATTCAATGTGAAGGTGAGTGGAGTGAACAAAAGGAGTTGCCACCTGATGAAAAATGTTTATGCAGTATCAAATTTAAATCTTCCAATGCAAAGTTTGACACAAAAAGAGATTGAAGCAGCATTTAAATCAAATCCAAATCCGCCAGTGAAGCCATATTCGAATATCGTGCCAAAATTATTAATCGGTTTGGATAATGCCTTTTTAGGGTTGCCAACATTTACTAATTTTAAAGATTTATCGGGCCCATTTGCTTGCAGCACTGAATTGGGTTGGGTTGTTTTTGGACCCTGTAAAAGCAGATCAACATGTCCATAAAATTGTGGAAGATTACTTTAACATTGAAAACATGGGTGTTCGAGCAGCCCCTTTAATGGAATCTGAAGATGATACAAGGGCAAAAGAAATTCTTTCCGAGTCAACAAAAAGAGTTGGAAATAGATTTAAACGGATTATTATGGAAAAATGAGAATGTGGAGTTGCCAGATAGTAACACTATGGCACTTAGGCGACTAGAAGGAGCCGAGAAGAAATTGAAAAGGGACTAAAATTTGTATGCTGCTTATACAGAAGTTATAAATGGATATATAGCCAAGGGATACATAAGAGAAGTCCCACCCGAAAATATCGACCTGATATCAAACAGAAAATGGTACTTGCCACATTTTGGAGTTATTAACCCGAACAAAGAAAACAAAAAGTTTAGATTAGTTTTTGATGCCGCCGCCAAGGTAAATGGGACTTCATTAAACGACAATCTATTAAAAGGTCCCCAATATATTTCATCATTGCCTACAATACTTTATAATTTTCGACGTGGGAATATTGCAGTGTGTGCTGATATTAAAGAAATGTTCCATCAAGTGATAATGCAGCCAAGTGACAGAATATCTCAAAGACTTTTGTGGAGAAATTGTAACCCTGACGTGCCGCCTGTTGAATATGAGATGACAGTCATGACTTTTGGAGCCGCCTGCTCACCATGTTCAGCCATATATGTTATGAAGATTAATGCTAAAGAACATACTGACTGCCACCCCAGATCAATAGAATCGATTTGTGAACATCACTACATCATATGGACTGCAAAGATTTTGTTATATATCCAAATATTTTTCTCATTTAATTTTGATATGCAGCGTAAGAATTGAATTGTATTTTTCAAAATTGTTTTTTTTTTAATCAAACTTAGACTCGTCCGCATATAACTCAACTAAAGGCGTAATATGTACTACAATAGCTTTTGCTGCTTCAAATTCTAATTGATTGTGTATTTCTATAGACTCATTCATAGAAGCAACAACTTCATCATTAAATATAGCTAATATGTCTTCAAATTTAAATTTTTTATATGAATAAGCAGATTTTCTTTTAGGGTTTGCAGCAACGCTCGTATGTGGTTGTACATGTATGAACCGAGCGTGTATATACCACACCTTGAGACTTGAGGCAACAAAATATTTTGAAAAATTATTGCGTGGCGTGATATACAACCAGTAGCAATTTCTATGAACTTTGAAAATACACTTGATGCTTTACGCAATTTTCTGTGGTAAGAAATGGCATCGCATATGCTCATAAATGTAGTTGCCCCAATTTCATTCACTTCTTTAAAAATCCGAACTACGATATTGTTCATAATATTCTAAAGATTTTGGCGTCGGTGTTTGTGCAACGCCGATCAGTAGGGGTGGATCCTTACTTAAAAGACGTTGTAAAAGAAATACATATGCTGTGGCTTTACCATTATTATGTATAATATTTACCTCATCGAAAAACAATGTACAAATCGGGTATTTTTTTAAAATGTCTTTAAGAATATTTTTTGTTTGTATGTCAAAACCCATGTGACATTTAGGGAAAATGTTTTCTATAACATTTGATGGCGGTATCGACCATTTTTGTATGTTTCTTCGGTAGTAATAAAAATGAGAGTATCCTAACACCAGTGTAATTTGTTCCACGAGTAATTGTGGGGCCGCGGATGAACTAAAGCATACATTTTCATCATTCCCTGACATTAAAAATTCTCTATTGGAATCCTACAATAACTCATTTGAAGAAATTTAATTTTCAAATGAAGCTTCTAATTTATCATTTACAGATTCTATTGTTCGCATACTATGCAAAATTCGTGCAGCTTCTTCTTCATCTGCAATATTTCTGTTACTATTAACTTCTATTGGAGAATTTACAGCCAGTTCCACGATATCGAAATAACACGTTCGCACAACTTTTACACGACAATCAGCTGATTTCCGTTCCACTAAAATCCATCAGAACGAAAATTTGCACGAAAATCAAAGCGAACGAAAACGTAAGCGTTTCAGTGTAATTTTGCGTTCCACTATCTTTTTTCTTTCGTACGCATGCGAACACAAATGTCAAAATCAATCACTTGTGTGTTTGCTGTCGTATGATAACAATTAAGGAAAATTGTTTTAACATAAACATTGCTTGATTTAAAATGGAAACAAAAATGTAAGTAAAAATAATAAATGCAATTTAATATGTGAACAACAAATATATATTTTTTATTTTCTCAATTCCAGCACGAAAAAATCATCAACTACACAGCTGCGGTCACTAGTTGAGTATATGGAGGAGAATCTGAGTTCGCCAGAGGAGTTCCAATCTTTGGAAGCAGCAGAAGAAGTTTTAAATCTGGGCGGATTTGGGTAGTTCTGCAACCGGGCACCCACTTCTCTTCCATCATATCCAAAAGAGCCCGAAAAACTTCCTTCGACACACGAAAATTGGCCACAAACCTAGAAAAAATCATTTTTTATTATTTCGAAAATGTAAAAATACAATAATACTTACTGGTTGTTAGGTACTTCAAATAAATTCGAAGCATCTCTTAAATGCCTCCGTGGCACATTTTGAACCTCCTCCACATCATCCATAAAAAATAGGGCTACGGAAATATTCGTCCCAATTACGGTTTTCGTTTCTATAGTCGTCGTCGACTTTATGTGCAAGTCGCCCTCACCGTCGCTTCGATTCAAAAATGGTATTACGCTAAGGCATGGAAGCGACATCGACAGTTTAAAATAAAAGTTGGCAACAACTAAAAAAGGCGTTGGCAACAATCCCTTGTTATTGACAAAATAAGATAAAAATTTGTTTTTATTTTGAATTCTAATTTCGTCTCTTTCGGAAAAATAAAAAATATAGTGAAACAATGGATATTATAAATGCATTACATAGCTTAAGTTCAAGTGAGGATGAAGTGGAGAATGTATTAGTAGAGCAGCGGCGAGTGCTAAGCCAGCAAACAAATATGTTTGCATTGCCTGACTCTTGACTGTGTTGTTCCAAAAGTTTATACTGCTCTTTCAAGAATTCAATAGTTTCTTCTTTCCTTGATGATTTTTTATCATTGTTTTTTTTTGGGCGATCGAGAATTTTGGATAGTAGTTACATCAGTCTCGTCATCAGCATTCTCCACTGGCTCATTTTCATGATCTATAACGTCTGTTACAATTATGTTTTCCGTATTTTTTACTCCAAATGCACGACCTGGTGCATTCAGTAACTTTTGAAACTGCATTACATTCGCGAAGGACTTCTCCCAAAGCGACAAAGTCATTTGCTTAAAAATATCACCTCCAGTGCTGCTGGCTTCACCCTTATTGTGCACAATTGTTTTTTAGTTTTACATTTTTAATTTTTCCAAACCTAGACGAACTTTAGAAAACTAACTAATAAAAACATACAAAAATAATTTTAACTTTAATATACTTCTTGCCAGTCTCTAATCGGTGACCGTTTACATTTAATTTTGTAGCAATGGATTCCAATCTAATTTAAAATTAGCTGGAAAATTACCTTTGGTAAACCCTTTGGCAAACATGGTTTTTTTTATTCAATTCGGAAACTAACATTTCAAATTGTTTTGCTGTTGTTATTTTCTTGGTCAAATATCAAATACAAAAAAGTTACAATATCAACGTCCACTAAAAAATACAATGTCGTTACAATTTTTTACGGCGACAGATTTTCTTAAAAATCGACTTCACGTCGACTGTTGTATCGACAGTTATAATAGCAATCATTTGTCGCTATCGACAAAAAACGACAACCCTAATATCATTATTGTCGCTTCGACTTCATTTTGCGACGCCGACGACAACCATAATAGGGCCGATTCATTTTTTTATTTTTTAAGAACACAAATAGTTTGAACACAATCACTAGAAATTTTATTTTGTTTGTTTATTTACAATTTGTTTGTTTACAACTGAACTGTCAATTGAGACAGAGCCACTGTTGCTTTTTTGCGTTTAAATTAGACATTTGGCGCTTTTTTTGCCTTATTTCGCGATTAATTTTTTCAAAAAATATTTAGCAACACTGAATCACGTAAGGCTATGCGAAAGAAAGAACGAAAGTTAGTGGAACGCATTCTTATACGAAAGTGAGTGAGTAGCCTCCGTTCGCACAAATTTTCTTTCGAGATCGTGGAACAGGCTGTTAAAGATTCCATACTAAGGAAAAGGTGCTGCTTCTTTTTCTTCTGCCGTGTATGTGCCATTATTATTTCCGCTATTGTTATTACCATGGTAGAAGAATATAGGTAGACGCTTCGACACAGCTGCTGGGACAATGAACTGTCAAACCAATTTTGGAATCTAAATTGTTGAATGAAAAATTACTCAAATTTGTAAATATTGTTAAAAAATGCATATTATAACAACCTCCGATTGGCGTCGTGTAGGAAAACAAATACAAATATACTTATTTTTGAGGAAATATTTAAAAAATTTTGATACATCAATACTCCCAATCGTTGATGCATCTACCTGTATTTTTCTACCATGGTCATTACTAACAACTGTATCTGTTCCAGAACGGCACTTTATGAGTGTTTATTTATCATGTTTCTGTTGTAATGTTGACAGTTATCAAAGTTTCCTCTATTCTCTCTTTTGACATTTCCGAGGTTATTTGTCTTTGGCAGTCAAAAGGAGAAGTCGAAAAACAGCGAAATAAACGCGCGCTACTGTGTTCTAAATAAAATTGTTTTCTTTTGCGTTAACCGCAAGGCTCCTTCTTTGACATTAATACAGAACAAATTCTTTATTTCGCATTTTGTTTGGTTTGTGACGCAAAAAATTGTGTACTTTGCTGTGTGTGGAAAAAATATAAAGCAAGTTTGAGGTTGGGAAGATGGCACCACCTGTTCGCCACCAACACTGAGAAGCACATTCAGCGCAGACACTATTACATCAGATCAGCCTGATCATGAAGCCCAAGTGGATGTAAGTAGTGAAGTCTATGGAAACACACAAGCAACGCCAAGAACGGAGACAAATAACCAAACTATGTCATCTGCCGTACATAGTGGAACAAAAAAGCCTGCATCTAACAACAATGTAAGTGATAATAATGCCATCACAGAAACGCCAAGGGGAACGTTTCAAGCCAAAAGAAGACAGTTTCCAAGCCAGGTAATGCCATGAAAGCTACAGAGCCAGGCGCAAGTAGCCAACAGAAGGAAGTGGATAATTTAGCTGACATCAAAAAGCAAATGGCATATCTAAAACGACAACTTTTGGAAACAAAATCTCAACTATCCGAGAGTCAACGCCAATGCCAGCAGTTTGAGGTTATGTCCCAAAAGCCATCAGGAGAAACGGTAAGTGACCATAACCTAAATCCTATCAACGTGTCCGCCATTGATTTAGCAAACACAACAACAACTATGCCGCCAATTAGGCAAGCCGCACATACATCGACATCAACAGTCGCCATTACAACGCAACCGCCACCCGCTGCCAATGTCAACGTCGAACAAACTCCGACGCAAGCTGCAACAGATAATTTCTGCGCTTCTTTGCCGCCAGCAATAAATACAAATTTATCGCCATGTTCTACAAATATTAACCTCAGCCAACAACAGTATAGAAATTTGTATGGTACAGAAAATGGAGTCCGTGAGGTCATGGCTCATCGGAAAATTATTGATCTGTCTGAATTCACCGTCGTTTCTTAAATCTCAGCTTGCAAGAAAAATGGAAACAAATTAAACAAATACGTGCCTGCTTTTCTTGTTTAAGTCGATTTAAGCCGTAGTCGATTATGCCCTATAGAAGGTTGCCAACGTAAGCATAATAAACTACTACATGAGGGTGCCCCCTGCGTACCAGCTGTTAATCCGTCGAATCCTGAGCCAGAATATCAACAAAATGTCCTCAGCTGTTCTTCTAAAGTTAATAAAAAACTACTTTTTCGTGTATTGCCAGTCACACCATATGGAAACAATTGTCGTATGGATGTATATGCTCTCTTTGATGATGGATCATCTATAAGCATGATGGTCAAGGACATTGCTGAAAGAATAGGAGTGCGAGGAAATAGTTGCTCTTTAAATATTCAGTGGTTCGGAGGGAGGTCTGCTAGGGAACCTGTGACGTCATTCAATGTGAAGGTGAGTGGAGTGAACAAAAGGAGTTGCCACCTGATGAAAAATGTTTATGCAGTATCAAATTTAAATCTTCCAATGCAAAGTTTGACACAAAAAGAGATTGAAGCAGCATTTAAATCAAATCCAAATCCGCCAGTGAAGCCATATTCGAATATCGTGCCAAAATTATTAATCGGTTTGGATAATGCCTTTTTAGGGTTGCCAACATTTACTAATTTTAAAGATTTATCGGGCCCATTTGCTTGCAGCACTGAATTGGGTTGGGTTGTTTTTGGACCCTGTAAATCGATATCGCCATCTAAATCTTCGTGCCTTTTCGTAAATGTGGAAGCAGATCAACATGTCCATAAAATTGTGGAAGATTACTTTAACATTGAAAACATGGGTGTTCGAGCAGCCCCTTTAATGGAATCTGAAGATGATACAAGGGCAAAAGAAATTCTTTCCGAGTCAACAAAAAGAGTTGGAAATAGATTTAAACGGATTATTATGGAAAAATGAGAATGTGGAGTTGCCAGATAGTAACACTATGGCACTTAGGCGACTAGAAGGAGCCGAGAAGAAATTGAAAAGGGACTAAAATTTGTATGCTGCTTATACAGAAGTTATAAATGGATATATAGCCAAGGGATACATAAGAGAAGTCCCACCCGAAAATGTCGACCTGATATCAAACAGAAAATGGTACTTGCCACATTTTGGAGTTATTAACCCGAACAAAGAAAACAAAAAGTTTAGATTAGTTTTTGATGCCGCCGCCAAGGTAAATGGGACTTCATTAAACGACAATCTATTAAAAGGTCCCCAATATATTTCATCATTGCCTACAATACTTTATAATTTTCGACGTGGGAATATTGCAGTGTGTGCTGATATTAAAGAAATGTTCCATCAAGTGATAATGCAGCCAAGTGACAGAATATCTCAAAGACTTTTGTGGAGAAATTGTAACCCTGACGTGCCGCCTGTTGAATATGAGATGACAGTCATGACTTTTGGAGCCGCCTGCTCACCATGTTCAGCCATATATGTTATGAAGATTAATGCTAAAGAACATACTGACTGCCACCCCAGATCAATAGAATCGATTTGTGAACATCACTACATCATATGGACTGCAAAGATTTTGTTATATATCCAAATATTTTTCTCATTTAATTTTGATATGCAGCGTAAGAATTGAATTGTATTTTTCAAAATTGTTTTTTTTTTTAATCAAACTTAGACTCGTCCGCATATAACTCAACTAAAGGCGTAATATGTACTACAATAGCTTTTGCTGCTTCAAATTCTAATTGATTGTGTATTTCTATAGACTCATTCATAGAAGCAACAACTTCATCATTAAATATAGCTAATATGTCTTCAAATTTAAATTTTTTATATGAATAAGCAGATTTTCTTTTAGGGTTTGCAGCAACGCTCGTATGTGGTTGTACATGTATGAACCGAGCGTGTATATACCACACCTTGAGACTTGAGGCAACAAAATATTTTGAAAAATTATTGCGTGGCGTGATATACAACCAGTAGCAATTTCTATGAACTTTGAAAATACACTTGATGCTTTACGCAATTTTCTGTGGTAAGAAATGGCATCGCATATGCTCATAAATGTAGTTGCCCCAATTTCATTCACTTCTTTAAAAATCCGAACTACGATATTGTTCATAATATTCTAAAGATTTTGGCGTCGGTGTTTGTGCAACGCCGATCAGTAGGGGTGGATCCTTACTTAAAAGACGTTGTAAAAGAAATACATATGCTGTGGCTTTACCATTATTATGTATAATATTTACCTCATCGAACAACAATGTACAAATCGGGTATTTTTTTAAAATGTCTTTAAGAATATTTTTTGTTTGTATGTCAAAACCCATGTGACATTTAGGGAAAATGTTTTCTATAACATTTGATGGCGGTATCGACCATTTTTGTATGTTTCTTCGGTAGTAATAAAAATGAGAGTATCCTAACACCAGTGTAATTTGTTCCACGAGTAATTGTGGGGCCGCGGATGAACTAAAGCATACATTTTCATCATTCCCTGACATTAAAAATTCTCTATTGGAATCCTACAATAACTCATTTGAAGAAATTTAATTTTCAAATGAAGCTTCTAATTTATCATTTACAGATTCTATTGTTCGCATACTATGCAAAATTCGTGCAGCTTCTTCTTCATCTGCAATATTTCTGTTACTATTAACTTCTATTGGAGAATTTACAGCCAGTTCCACGATATCGAAATAACACGTTCGCACAACTTTTACACGACAATCAGCTGATTTCCGTTCCACTAAAATCCATCAGAACGAAAATTTGCACGAAAATCAAAGCGAACGAAAACGTAAGCGTTTCAGTGTAATTTTGCGTTCCACTATCTTTTTTCTTTCGTACGCATGCGAACACAAATGTCAAAATCAATCACTTGTGTGTTTGCTGTCGTATGATAACAATTAAGGAAAATTGTTTTAACATAAACATTGCTTGATTTAAAATGGAAACAAAAATGTAAGTAAAAATAATAAATGCAATTTAATATGTGAACAACAAATATATATTTTTTATTTTCTCAATTCCAGCACGAAAAAATCATCAACTACACAGCTGCGGTCACTAGTTGAGTATATGGAGGAGAATCTGAGTTCGCCAGAGGAGTTCCAATCTTTGGAAGCAGCAGAAGAAGTTTTAAATCTGGGCGGATTTGGGTAGTTCTGCAACCGGGCACCCACTTCTCTTCCATCATATCCAAAAGAGCCCGAAAAACTTCCTTCGACACACGAAAATTGGCCACAAACCTAGAAAAAATCATTTTTTATTATTTCGAAAATGTAAAAATACAATAATACTTACTGGTTGTTAGGTATTTCAAATAAATTCGAAGCATCTCTTAAATGCCTCCGTGGCACATTTTGAACCTCCTCCACATCATCCATAAAAAATAGGGCTACGGAAATATTCGTCCCAATTACGGTTTTCGTTTCTATAGTCGTCGTCGACTTTATGTGCAAGTCGCCCTCACCGTCGCTTCGATTCAAAAATGGTATTACGCTAAGGCATGGAAGCGACATCGACAGTTTAAAATAAAAGTTGGCAACAACTAAAAAAGGCGTTGGCAACAATCCCTTGTTATTGACAAAATAAGATAAAAATTTGTTTTTATTTTGAATTCTAATTTCGTCTCTTTCGGAAAAATAAAAAATATAGTGAAACAATGGATATTATAAATGCATTACATAGCTTAAGTTCAAGTGAGGATGAAGTGGAGAATGTATTAGTAGAGCAGCGGCGAGTGCTAAGCCAGCAAACAAATATGTTTGCATTGCCTGACTCTTGACTGTGTTGTTCCAAAAGTTTATACTGCTCTTTCAAGAATTCAATAGTTTCTTCTTTCCTTGATGATTTTTTATCATTGTTTTTTTTTGGGCGATCGAGAATTTTGGATAGTAGTTACATCAGTCTCGTCATCAGCATTCTCCACTGGCTCATTTTCATGATCTATAACGTCTGTTACAATTATGTTTTCCGTATTTTTTACTCCAAATGCACGACCTGGTGCATTCAGTAACTTTTGAAACTGCATTACATTCGCGAAGGACTTCTCCCAAAGCGACAAAGTCATTTGCTTAAAAATATCACCTCCAGTGCTGCTGGCTTCACCCTTACTGTGCACAATTGTTTTTTAGTTTTACATTTTTAATTTTTCCAAACCTAGACGAACTTTAGAAAACTAACTAATAAAAACATACAAAAATAATTTTAACTTTAATATACTTCTTGCCAGTCTCTAATCGGTGACCGTTTACATTTAATTTTGTAGCAATGGATTCCAATCTAATTTAAAATTAGCTGGAAAATTACCTTTGGTAAACCCTTTGGCAAACATGGTTTTTTTTATTCAATTCGGAAACTAACATTTCAAATTGTTTTGCTGTTGTTATTTTCTTGGTCAAATATCAAATACAAAAAAGTTACAATATCAACGTCCACTAAAAAATACAATGTCGTTACAATTTTTTACGGCGACAGATTTTCTTAAAAATCGACTTCACGTCGACTGTTGTATCGACAGTTATAATAGCAATCATTTGTCGCTATCGACAAAAAACGACAACCCTAATATCATTATTGTCGCTTCGACTTCATTTTGCGACGCCGACGACAACCATAATAGGGCCGATTCATTTTTTTATTTTTTAAGAACACAAATAGTTTGAACACAATCACTAGAAATTTTATTTTGTTTGTTTATTTACAATTTGTTTACAACTGAACTGTCAGTTGAGACAGAGCCACTGTTGCTTTTTTGCGTTTAAATTAGACATTTGGCGCTTTTTTTGCCTTATTTCGCGATTAATTTTTTCAAAAAATATTTAGCAACACTGAATCACGTAAGGCTATGCGAAAGAAAGAACGAAAGTTAGTGGAACGCATTCTTATACGAAAGTGAGTGAGTAGCCTCCGTTCGCACAAATTTTCTTTCGAGATCGTGGAACAGGCTGTTAAAGATTCCATACTAAGGAAAAGGTGTTGCTTCTTTTTCTTCTGCCGTGTATGTGCCATTATTATTTCCGCTATTGTTATTACCATGGTAGAAGAATATAGGTAGACGCTTCGACACAGCTGCTGGGACAATGAACTGTCAAACCAATTTTGGAATCTAAATTGTTGAATGAAAAATTACTCAAATTTGTAAATATTGTTAAAAAATGCATATTATAACAACCTCCGATTGGCGTCGTGTAGGAAAACAAATACAAATATACTTATTTTTGAGGAAATATTTAAAAAATTTTGATACATCAATACTCCCAATCGTTGATGCATCTACCTGTATTTTTCTACCATGGTCATTACTAACAACTGTATCTGTTCCAGAACGGCACTTTATGAGTGTTTATTTATCATGTTTCTGTTGTAATGTTGACAGTTATCAAAGTTTCCTCTATTCTCTCTTTTGACATTTCCGAGGTTATTTGTCTTTGGCAGTCAAAAGGAGAAGTCGAAAAACAGCGAAATAAACGCGCGCTACTGTGTTCTAAATAAAATTGTTTTCTTTTGCGTTAACCGCAAGGCTCCTTCTTTGACATTAATACAGAACAAATTCTTTATTTCGCATTTTGTTTGGTTTGTGACGCAAAAAATTGTGTACTTTGCTGTGTGTGGAAAAAATATAAAGCAAGTTTGAGGTTGGGAAGATGGCACCACCTGTTCGCCACCAACACTGAGAAGCACATTCAGCGCAGACACTATTACATCAGATCAGCCTGATCATGAAGCCCAAGTGGATGTAAGTAGTGAAGTCTATGGAAACACACAAGCAACGCCAAGAACGGAGACAAATAACCAAACTATGTCATCTGCCGTACATAGTGGAACAAAAAAGCCTGCATCTAACAACAATGTAAGTGATAATAATGCCATCACAGAAACGCCAAGGGGAACGTTTCAAGCCAAAAGAAGACAGTTTCCAAGCCAGGTAATGCCATGAAAGCTACAGAGCCAGGCGCAAGCAGCCAACAGAAGGAAGTGGATAATTTAGCTGACATCAAAAAGCAAATGGCATATCTAAAACGACAACTTTTGGAAACAAAATCTCAACTATCCGAGAGTCAACGCCAATGCCAGCAGTTTGAGGTTATGTCCCAAAAGCCATCAGGAGAAACGGTAAGTGACCATAACCTAAATCCTATCAACGTGTCCGCCATTGATTTAGCAAACACAACAACAACTATGCCGCCAATTAGGCAAGCCGCACATACATCGACATCAACAGTCGCCATTACAACGCAACCGCCACCCGCTGCCAATGTCAACGTCGAACAAACTCAGACGCAAGCTGCAACAGATAATTTCTGCGCTTCTTTGCCGCCAGCAATAAATACAAATTTATCGCCATGTTCTACAAATATTAACCTCAGCCAACAACAGTATAGAAATTTGTATGGTACAGAAAATGGAGTCCGTGAGGTCATGGCTCATCGGAAAATTATTGATCTGTCTGAATTCACCGTCGTTTCTTAAATCTCAGCTTGCAAGAAAAATGGAAACAAATTAAACAAATACGTGCCTGCTTTTCTTGTTTAAATATTATCGCCGTAGTCGATTATGCCCTATAGAAGGTTGCCAACGTAAGCATAATAAACTACTACATGAGGGTGCCCCCTGCGTACCAGCTGTTAATCCGTCGAATCCTGAGCCAGAATATCAACAAAATGTCCTCAGCTGTTCTTCTAAAGTTAATAAAAAACTACTTTTTCGTGTATTGCCAGTCACACCATATGGAAACAATTGTCGTATGGATGTATATGCTCTCTTTGATGATGGATCATCTATAAGCATGATGGTCAAGGACATTGCTGAAAGAATAGGAGTGCGAGGAAATAGTTGCTCTTTAAATATTCAGTGGTTCGGAGGGAGGTCTGCTAGGGAACCTGTGACGTCATTCAATGTGAAGGTGAGTGGAGTGAACAAAAGGAGTTGCCACCTGATGAAAAATGTTTATGCAGTATCAAATTTAAATCTTCCAATGCAAAGTTTGACACAAAAAGAGATTGAAGCAGCATTTAAATCAAATCCAAATCCGCCAGTGAAGCCATATTCGAATATCGTGCCAAAATTATTAATCGGTTTGGATAATGCCTTTTTAGGGTTGCCAACATTTACTAATTTTAAAGATTTATCGGGCCCATTTGCTTGCAGCACTGAATTGGGTTGGGTTGTTTTTGGACCCTGTAAATCGATATCGCCATCTAAATCTTCGTGCCTTTTCGTAAATGTGGAAGCAGATCAACATGTCCATAAAATTGTGGAAGATTACTTTAACATTGAAAACATGGGTGTTCGAGCAGCCCCTTTAATGGAATCTGAAGATGATACAAGGGCAAAAGAAATTCTTTCCGAGTCAACAAAAAGAGTTGGAAATAGATTTAAACGGATTATTATGGAAAAATGAGAATGTGGAGTTGCCAGATAGTAACACTATGGCACTTAGGCGACTAGAAGGAGCCGAGAAGAAATTGAAAAGGGACTAAAATTTGTATGCTGCTTATACAGAAGTTATAAATGGATATATAGCCAAGGGATACATAAGAGAAGTCCCACCCGAAAATATCGACCTGATATCAAACAGAAAATGGTACTTGCCACATTTTGGAGTTATTAACCCGAACAAAGAAAACAAAAAGTTTAGATTAGTTTTTGATGCCGCCGCCAAGGTAAATGGGACTTCATTAAACGACAATCTATTAAAAGGTCCCCAATATATTTCATCATTGCCTACAATACTTTATAATTTTCGACGTGGGAATATTGCAGTGTGTGCTGATATTAAAGAAATGTTCCATCAAGTGATAATGCAGCCAAGTGACAGAATATCTCAAAGACTTTTGTGGAGAAATTGTAACCCTGACGTGCCGCCTGTTGAATATGAGATGACAGTCATGACTTTTGGAGCCGCCTGCTCACCATGTTCAGCCATATATGTTATGAAGATTAATGCTAAAGAACATACTGACTGCCACCCCAGATCAATAGAATCGATTTGTGAACATCACTACATGGATGACTTTGCAGATAGTTTCGATTCAGTGGATGAAGCTATCGAAATATCAAAGCAAGTTACAAAAATCCATGAAAATGGTGGATTCGAACTTAGAGGATTTCTTTCAAATTCAAATGAAGTCATGCTGGCACTTGATGGTTTGTCGTCGTCTAAAGCTATTGCCCCTATTGAATCGGGAGAAAAGGTACTAGGTCTGTATTGGGACCCAGGGTCAGATACATTTATGTTTAACCTGAAATTTAGCAAAGTCGATCCTGACATTATTTCTGGACAGAAAATACCAACTAAACGTCAAGTATTGAGCATTATTATGTCAATGTTTCATCCTCTTGGATTTTTGAGCAATTTTATGATCGGAGGAAAGTTAATTCTACGTAATATTTGGAGAACTGACTGTGGATGGGATGAAGAGATTCCAAAGAACATCGATACAGTGTGGCAAAATAGGAGAAAGAAACTTATTAACATTAAAGAATTTCGTCTGCATCGATTTTACTTCCTCTATGGGAAGCCAAAAAAGTTGGAGTTGCATATTTTTGTCGATGCTAGTGAAGAAGCATTTGCAGCTGTAGCTTATTGGAGATTTATTACTTCTGAAAATGAAACTGAAGTTAGTTTTATATGTTCTAAAACTAGATGTTCACCCTTGAAAAGGGTATCGATTCCTCGCTTGGAATTACAAGCCGCCGTATTAGGAACGAGAATAAAACAAAACATACTTGCCGATCACAAATTGGTATCAGAACAGATAAGGCTGGAAATACATAAAGCGCATTGTTCACGGATAAGTGAACATGTTTTTATAATAAAAGAGAATAGCGGGGCTACTTAGTGTAGATGAGAGGGATTTGTTAAACTGGGATCTTCTTAATACAGTCCATATGAAATAAGATAAGAAAATGTGGTGAGCAGACCTTTGAGTTAGAAATAAATAATACAGAATTTTCAATTGCTGCATGTGTTATGGTGGAGTTAGATTATGGGATGTAATCTTTACTCAGACTGATAAACAAGTGCAGCATGTTTGCTTGCCACATGTGAGATAGCTATGCGTGTGTATGACCTCCCCCTAAGGTTT